CTTTCTAGGCCTGGACTAATTTCCTGCCACCTGTTGTCACTGTGTTGTAGCTAAATAAAATCCATGCATTGTCCTTACAGTCTGTAAGATAAATAAGGAGGTTTCAGAGCTGTTGAGGTTTCAGAGCTGTTGCTCCAAGGCTTTCTTTTATTTATTTTCTAAGATACAATTTCCCATAGTGATGAGGGAACAGAGGCTTGATTAGTAAACTCATATTGTCTAATACTTCTAAATTATAGAATCTAATTTAAAGTATGTTATAATAGGAAAACTGGATTTGAGAAAGGTTTGCAGTTTTTTTTACCCTACTTCATTCAGCCATGCATGTCACACTTAGCTAAAAAAAAAAAAAAAAAGGCTTATGCCAATTAAACGTAATGTATTCGAAATGCACGCATCCTTCTCAGCATGCAGGCCCGCACACCTTCACTGCTGTGCAGCCTCACTTGTTTATCCGGTCAAAGGTAGCACAAAAAGCGTGCGAGTACGCAAGCGTTTTCCGGGGTTAAGGTGCGTTGCTTAATGGTTTCTAAATTGGGATTTTGTCGGTTGTTGGAGGGTGAATTTAATGCACTGGCGTATCCCGGTGGTTGCCTAGTAACGCGCTGGCAGTGGGCGCCGTAGAGAGATCTCTATGGTGGGCGCTCCATTAAAACCGTTGGCGCTCCTGACCTTGGCGTCGTGAATGCGCAAAGCACACAGACTGTGCAAAGCAGGAGATAAGAGTAAAGATCTTTGTGTTTGATACTGAAACCCGGCGAGCAGTTCACACACACACACAGCACCATTGTCTTGTGGCGAAACTGACGGGCATGGTATGGAGGAAATCTCGACATGGAGCGCGCATCAGCTTCTGTAAAAGCAGGTGAGTTAACCTAATGATTGTGTTTTTTTGTGTTGTTTTTTTCTTCTCACACTGTGGGATGAATCTTTGTTCAGATTCATCACTGACATCTGGGAGCATTGCTTCATTTAAAGCGATTGCTCAAGAATAGACCATGGAGCATTTGTTGGCTCGCTATTTTTTCTCTCTCACCATTTTATTCATTATAACAGCGTCCTAGACCTAGATTAAACAAGCTCCTCAGTCACAACGTGAGGCAGCGCACACACACTACAGCAGCTTGTCGATGCTATCTGGGCTGTGGCTTGCTTTTCTCCGTGGGTCTGGATCCTTGCATTCATTTATAAAGCGCCGATCATTATGTTAAGTGCTACCTGCATGTTCTCTATAAGGTATCTTCCCTGCATCCGTGCTTTGCTCATCTTTATTGCACTGCTAAATCAGGGGGGGGTTTAGGGGAAATCCACTGAAACGGTTTTGATCCAAACCAGTCGAATTACAAGGGCATTAGGAGTCCAATACTGTTGTCTGGCATACCTCCTTCTCAAATGCTTTCATGTTAAGGGCCCCCAGGCAACCGAACCTAATCAATAAGACGTTGTCCCAGAGATTTTTATTAGTGGTGAATTGGTGTTGAATTGTGTGCCTGTCGATGATGTAGGTGTAGAGACTGTAACGGGTAGGAGAGAAATGTGATTATAGCATTCAATCTAATAGGTCTGTAATTGAGATCTAGTCAGTCAAATGGGAATTAAAGTGTTCGGGTCCCAGGAAACCCCGAGTCTTTTGACCCAAAACACCACTGCGATGTAACATCTGGCTGGTGCAAAACAGTCAATTAGAATAACATGTAAGGGTTGTAAAACATAGTGATTTTTGAACTACTGATTTATTGCAAGCATTTAATTGGGAAGAAATATTTCACCCTGGTTTTCTTTCCATCCCTGTTGCCAATCTAAATTGCCCCCCCAAAAAAACTTGCAGTCTATCAAACCTGACTGAGTGATGGCTCACTTTTATTACATGGCCCATTTGGTGTAAGCTATAAAGCTTTTAACCACATCTGTCCCATCGCAGAGCACAAGTTGGGGAATATAATACTCTGCAGTCCAGCTGAAGGCAGTATTCAGCTGCTCTGACAATCTGCAGTGCAATCAGTAATCTTAGCGTGGTTCCAGTGTTTTAAATCAGAAGTTTGATTTGATGTCAAACTGCAAAAAAATAAAAGAAAATGCAAATGTGTTATGACTAATATCTTGAAGATATGTGTATTTAAAAGGAAATGCCGCTCTTTTTAAGAATTCATATGATCCCTTTGATCTACAGCAGCCCCAGCATGTGTGTCTTTTTTTTTTTTTTACTGCTTCATAAGCTTGAGACAACTAACCAAGTCTGATACCCGCTGTACAGCCCTTAACTGCAAATCTGATCATTGGTAATGATTTGACAGCAGGTTTTGTGAGCAGAGAGGATTTTTTACCTGCAAATGATTTATTAGCAGTGTCAGTTTCAAACCAGAAGATGTGCCCCGATCTGTCTCTCTATCTTTTCCATTTTAATGTCTTGGGAGCCGTTCATCATTGTCACAGATAGGGGATAGAACAAGACAGTCTTTTTGTCCTTTTTTGGCTATGGGGAACATTCATAAGTGTTAATTAATACAGACGGACTCGGCCTAGGGCAGAGATGTACAATATTTCTCAGATGATCCAGTGTGATATTACTCTGATTCGTCCCATTCTTTAAAAACTAGAGGAAACAATGAATGTTCATATCAGGTAAAGTGCTCCTGCACACCTGTGAAAGAGAGAATGAGCTGCCTTTATTGGTGTTTACGTTCCTGCTAGTGTAAACAAAATGCTGCAGGGAAAAAGAAAAGCCAATGCACCACATCTATGCTTAATTAGTTTCTCATATTAGGAGGAAGAAATTGTCCTCCGTCTTAATAGATAGGTTCATCAGATTGAAAGAAAGCTGTTTAGCTGCAGTCTTTCGCAATGCTCGAGGCAGCACTCGTCAATAAATTTGATTAGGTTAACAAGCTTGTTTTTGCTTTGTTCATTGACGAGCCAGTGAGAGCTAAAGTGAAAAACTGATAAAATGTGTCTGCAAAGCGAATGTTTGTATGATTGCATCAAGAGGTCCAATATTACACATTATATGATGTATTACCAAAATGTTATAAGCTCTAAGATGGAGGGAATTTCCCCTTAGAAATAAGAAAAATCAAATCAAGTGTATCCTACACAATACAGGCGTCTAGCTCCAGAAGAAATGTAATAAATATAAGTTTAAAGAAAAAGGAATCTAACAAATACAAATATTAAACAATGAAACAAGCAGTACATAATAATATACACGGGGGGTTGGTGATGACATCAGTATGATAGGAAAATGTGTAATCAACAGGATTGTGAATAAGCATTTATGCAGTACTTCTTAATACTTGGAAAAATAGATGAAGTGTTTGAACAGATTTCTTATGATCATAAAAGCTGAATTAAAAACCCCATTTTTCAACAGACTAATCATCAGAGTTTGTTAAAAGAATTCAAAAAGTGTGGAGAAAAATGGATGGGCTGCATTCCAGACTTAAACAAATCAGATTTTCAACAAAAAGAAGTGTCAATGGATCCTTTTCCTCTAAAACTCAACACTGAACAGTTTTCAGAGCCGTCCTCAAGAATTTCAATTAACCTGCAATTACTCTGCTTTATGACGGGGGTGGTGCTAGTGTGGTCCCATCAGACATGTTTGTTCCGAGACATTTCCATTACGTAGCAGACAGTGTTGCTTAGATGTAAGACACAATAAAGATACAAACACTCCCTAGTGAAGCTGTGAGATATTTGTTGTTTTTGAAATATATTAAACACTGAAACCTCACAATCAAGTCAGATATTTCTTCCCCAGTGTGGTCCTTTTAGTCTCTGTTCGATGCATATTAAAGATGTGCCTTTCTTCCCTGTTCACTTTATTGCTTTTACATAAGAGAAGGGGTGCTTAACACCTTTTATCTTGAGATGCTTTCACAGCATCACTCCAACATCACAGCAGATGGATTTTTCAGATTCCTCCCATCGCCTCCTCCACTGATACACAGAGATCAGTATTCACTGATTTGTTCATGTCAAAGCATACATTTGCTCTTTTAAGACAGCAGTTTATCCCTAAAGGTTATTAGAAGTGTTACCATGGATTTGGCTTACTGATACTAAGCTTATGAAAAATTATGTATTTAGAGCTCCAAGATACAGGAAGAAGATTTTGACTTTTATCCAATGTTAGTCAATTACATACACATGTTGGACATCAAGTTTTGATGTTTTCTCGTCTCATTTTTCTAATAATCTTGTTTTCAGATTTGTGTGCACTGCAATGAAAAGAGGAAGTGGGGGCGGTCCATACCTGGCTGAGGTGTATTTGGATTTGATAACCGTCGGAGCCAAAGGCGCAGTGAGTGATGTCTGTTTGACAGGGTTGGTGCAGAGGGACTGAACGGACACTACATTGTGCATTTGTGCTTTGCAAGGGCACTGTCTGGCCCAGACCATGTGGCTGGCTACATTTAGAGACCATCTGTTGCCTGCACACCTGCTACATCAGCAAGGGACTGTAACCATCACCCACTGTGCTCTTCTTTGGTGGATACTATGTTCCTGCTGGTCACTCACAAAGGCAACGAGCCAGAAATTCTACCCGACAGTGACCACCCAGTTTGGGAAACTGCGAGGCCTCAGGGTTCCCGTGCCCAGCGAGGTGCTCAGGCCCGTTGATCAGTATCTGGGGGTCCCCTATGCTGCTCCACCTGTGGGCGAGAAGCGTTTCATGCCCCCCGAGCAGCCCTCCTCTTGGTCAGGTATCAAGAATGCTACCCACTTCATGCCTGTGTGCCCTCAGAACATCCACAACACCGTGCCAGAGATCATGATGCCCATATGGTTCACCTATAACCTGGACACAGTAGCCACATACATTCAGGATCAGAGCGAGGACTGTTTATATCTAAACATTTACGCTCCGACAGAAGATGGTAAGTTGGTGTGGTAAATAGACAGCAATGACTTTCCATGTCTGCTGATCGTTGTTATTGTCGTCCTGTTATTGTCATAAAGCATGTGTGTGACCACTGCTCATGTCATTGCTGCCACCAAGCCCTGGTTTACCATCCAAAGCACTGTCATCATTGTTTCACCTGTTGCAATCATATGCAATTTGAAATAACAATCATGTTCCCATTGATAAGCAGGTATTTATTGATATTCAGGTAGTTGTGGCTACTGGAGGTGCTGCTCCTATGCCACTGAATGCGTGTAGATACACATAGTGAGGCTGGGGTATGTGCTTGCTCTCCCACTAATAGACATCCAGTGAAATATTGCTGAAGTAAGGTGTTGTTCAAGTATTGGTCCACCTAAACTAAGCAATAATTTTCAGCTTTTAAAATGATGAGCTTAGCATATTTGGCTGTCACCGCGGAGCATCAAAGCTAATCATGAGGAATGACTTAGGAGATCTAGTAAAGCTAGCAGTGCCTGCTTTCCATGTTTGTTAAAAATTCAAAAGTTTCTTTATATTTTACGGAATCTTTGCTTTGCTCAGACAGTGTGTCTGCTGGGGGCCAATTAGTGAGGTACAGGAGTCAAGTCCTGTCTATTGCTTGCTGAACCCCTCCCTTTTTGTATCTAATAGAAGTGTGAAATGAACCAGCAAGGGAACATTTTGTGTGTCTGCTGTGAATATGCAGATTAGCAGAACAATGTAATACCATAGTCATGCTGTATCGTCTCTCTAAATCTAGTGTTGACACACAGATTTCCCTAATTCAGGTTACTTCAATACACCAATTAAACACGGTTTTTGAGGATATATTTCCTCCCTCACAAGCCTTCAGTATGATACCAAACATTCAGCATTCAAAGTTGAACCGTGTATCTTTTGTATGTAACACGGCACTCTTTGCGGACTTTTCTATGGTAGCGTAGCAACAACAGATAAACAGCCTGTTTGAGAGGTAGCGGCCCAAAATGGTGCAGCCCACGTTTTACAAAGCTCCTGGTCTGAGTGCTGCCTAAAGGCCTCCTCACCGGCACACAAACAGGTTAATTCAATTTCACATTTGCATCCACATTTCAAAAGGAAGTAACACAAATCATCACTTCTATACATTTATTTCTTCCGACCTTATCATTGTTTATTTAAAATGCACCTTAGGCATTCTGTGACTTTAGTATTTGTTTTGTTTCGTTGAAACCTTTGCTGTTTTCATTTTTGCTCATCTCCAGTATTCTTTTTGCCATGTCAAATTAAAGAGTGTGTTTCTGAAATTTCCGCAATTTTATATTTGTTTTTGTGGCCTGATGCCCCACTAAAGTTCAGTTTATTAATTATTCATCAATAAACCATATACCTTTTATCTTCAGTAACTATCCTACAGTGGGTTACACAAGGAACTGACATGACAGTGTAAACATATAACTATACAGAAAGAAAAAATGAACCAAGAAAGATGTATTACTCCAGTCACAGCCAAGGCAGCTGGGTCAATATAACAAAGTAGATAGATAACAAAACACTCAAAAATAACAATGTGTGTATATGTGCATATGTGTGTGTGTGCATATACACACTTTGCATTTCCTACAAATATCTAACAAGGAATAAGAATTTCTTTCCTCTCTACATTTTGTCAGAAAGCAATTGCAGTAAAAAGTGCAACATTCTGTATGTAAATGGCATAAACTTCTTTTCGCCTGAATTTATGGATCTTTTTTCTCCTGGTTCTGTCAGTTTGACTGGACCGTATATTAAATAAGAGCCACAGTCAACCATGCTATTTTGAATTCTTCTTCTTTTTTTTCCTTTTTTTTTTTCCTCATGTGAATCCCAGGGAGCCAACACAAGAAAAAGGGGGCGGCTTTCTCACATGCTGAGACTCATATATCTGAAGGTATTTTTAAGAGCTCAAAGTCTTGATGCATGGATCCTTTTAGTTTGAGTTTGGTGGATGAAGATCTTACAATTCCTAGTTTTTACTTTCCTTAGGAACCGTGGGGGTTCTGTTATTTTGAGTGGAATGAGAAAAATGTTGTCTGATTTATGATTACATAAGTTTGCTCTTCCTGCACCTCACATCTCGAGCACTGTTGCAATCCTTTCAGTAAGTGCTACATCTCTGCTGCTGCGCACATTGATCCACAGATTGCATTATCTACTTATCTGTCTTATAATCCTTTTAAAGACAGTCATTAGTTAATATTACAAATTGGTTTCTACTTTAGCTCGTACTAGTAGATAACAAGATCTCAGTGCAGTGTGGTCATTTTCGGTTGAAGTCCACACACGCAAAACGTGTTTGTGCATGCATATTGTATGTTGAGCTCTAAAATTCCATCATGATAGAATTTTATTCTCAACTGAGATCAAACCACAGATCGATTTTTCCCCCTCTTACTACCTGTAATCTAGAGAATTTCACATATGTTACAGAGCACAAGAATGCTTGGTTGAGCGCTTACATGCAACTGTTGTTAATTATATTTGACCTTTTTATTCATACACCCCTTGTCAGAGTGTATTTACCATGCATTTTCTGAATGTCATTACAGCTTTCAAACCACAGGCTTACCACTGCTTCTAAGCACCTTTTCTAAGCAGTCTTTACCCATACCTCATACTGAACTCACACTGACTCATACTGTTGATATAAAGCGTTAGTACAAGTGCTTTATTAATCCTCTGTTTCATTACTGTTGCCTCTGTTTGCTCAGCATGTGTGTGTGTGTGTTGACGTTGCAGATATAAGAGACTCTGAAGCTCGCCCTGTGATGGTCTACATCCACGGAGGCTCCTATATGGAGGGCACAGGGAACATGATGGACGGCAGCGTGCTGGCCAGTTACGGGAATGTGGTTGTTGTCACGCTCAACTACAGAATTGGAATATTAGGTGATACAGCGTCTCTGTGTGTTAACTTTTAATGGGGTTCAGATGTTTTGTTAAATGTGTTTAGTCCCTGTTTAATCCAAGAAAATAAACTGTCACAATGGCCATTGATTTCCACTTGTGTTGCTGTTATTAACCCATAAAAAGAAGTAGAGACGTGAAAGAAAAAGAAAATGTAAAACAGTAAATATAGGCAACTGATGGCATAGCTTGATTTGCATACAAATGCTGTCCTCGGAGGAAAAATGATGCAAACACATATCATGTCCTGTCCTTGTTGCACACAAGCTGTTTTAGACCCATTCTGAAAACACAATTTATCTTCCTTTAGGCTGATTTATTTAATCTGTACTAGATTATCAGCCATTGCCATTCTTGAAAGAATGATTTAAATAGAGTATGGAGGGATGCACTGTTCACAAGGTCAAGAGTTCCTCGTCTCCCTGTGTTTAACATTCAAAACAGTACGTTGTTTAGATGAGACTACAGTAGACAAGGGAATAAGTAATATGATCAATTATAAGAGCAGCAATGACCTCTGTGTGGTTTTATAAAATTCATGTAAAGAAATAGGCTCAAGTAAAAGATTTATTTATTTATGCACTTGCGAGGAGAGTGTTCAGATTTGATGAGCAGAGCCCGGATCACCTCCTGAGGGGCATCGCTGCGTAGAGACTATTACGAGGACTTGACTAAAGTAGTCAAGACACCATGTGAGAGAGGAAAGGCATATTCGCACCTGAGGGGAAACAGTGTCAGTTCATTCAGATGCCATGCTGGGCTACAACTTTAGATCATAACTGTGACATATATACTCAATACTTGAGCACTGGCTCTGTTGTCTCTCTGTGTACTTCAGGCTTCCTCAGCACTGGTGACCAGGCAGCAAAAGGAAACTATGGGCTTCTGGATCAGATTCAAGCTCTCCGCTGGATAAGTAAGAACATCGGTTACTTTGGAGGAGACCCGGGTCGCATCACAGTCTTTGGATCTGGAATTGGTGCATCTTGTGTGAGCCTGCTAACTTTGTCCCACCACTCAGAAGGTAAGAGTCAGTGTTTCACTCTCAGAGTTATCTCTGACTTTGATTGATACTGATTTATTATCAGCTAAAGTTGAAGTAGTAATAACTTAAAGGTCCAATGTGTAACATTTAGGGGCATCTATTGGCAGAAATGGAATATAATATTCACAACTATGTTTTCATTAGTGTATAATCACCAGAACATAGGAATCGTTGTTTTTGTTATCTTAGAATGAGCCTTGTACATCTAAAACCACTATGTTTCTATAGTAGCCCAGAAGGGACAGTACATCTACAGACATTGCGGGTCGTCTTCTATGGAATCCGCCATGTAGAAGCACCATGTTTCTATTCAGAAGGGACAAACCACTGGCTCTAGATAGGGGCGTTCTGGTTTGAGCGTTTCATGGCTACCCTAGTTTCTCCTTCGCACTTGGAAGGGGAGGGTGAAGTAAGGGAGTTGGGAGAGACGTTTAAAGTAATGTCAAAATCCACACACTTGAGATGTAAGACTTAATTTTTGCTCAGTCATATTAATTTATTATCTTGAACATGTCACTGTTACTTTTTGAACAATCATTTTTAATCATTTTGGAATTTTATTCTTTGTTTCAAGTGCAGCTCTAAATGGTCTGTCAGGGAGATGAAGTGTTATGATATGGGAGTAGGGTAAAGGGGGTATTCGTTAAGTAAGTGATTGCTTTTGTTCCCCTCTACTCAGTCTAATCAGCCTAAAAGCTTTGCCTCTTAAAATGTGAAGCTCTTAAAGAAGCCCACTGGCATTATAAACTTTTCACCATGTCGTCACGTTCACCTGTGTCCCTCAGTTTTTACCATTCCAGCTGACTAATATTTCAGTCTTTCAGCGTCAGATTTGTTTGCCCTCTTCCACCCACCTGCATTCTGGGTAAACAGTTTCAAAGTTTGTCCAAAGATTACATATAAAACACTTAATGTTTTTGCAGCTTCTGTAATTGCGAAGCCTTGAATGAAGACACTACCAAAGACAAGGTTTGTGTGAGGATGAGGCAGGACCAGAAACAAAATCCAAATTCATCAGATATTTACTGTAAAAATCAATATTTCTTTTTTGCCAAAAATACTGCCAGTGCTTTAGGCACAAATGGCATATTCTAGTCCCGTGATCACTACACTGTTATATATTTTTAATGAAATGAAATTGGAATCAATAGGAATCAAATAAAACACCTGTACTGTATATAGTATACATTACCCACAGGGTATCTGATAGCTACCGAAAAGAAGAATAGGTTGTAATGTTACCGGTTTTTATTTTCAATGGATATCATGTCGCTTGGTTAACACTTATCCAAAGCTCACTGCAAGAATAAAAGGTGCGTATTTCAATAGGGGGGGCCCACAGGGAATTGAACATCTTATCTTTGCCGTATTATTGCCCTGGTCTTCCCATTGATGCTGGATAGAATCACAAGGAGGGCAGAAACTGTGCGTTTTCATCAATGCCAGGGAGGCTGCGGCAACTGTCCTTTGTGAGGTTTGTATTTGATGCCCTAGCTCGGCTGCAGCGAATGCACAAAGACCTCCGGCTGTCTTTGAAGTAGACTAGCTAGCTGCTGCCCTAAAAAAAAATGAAATAAATGACAGCAAAGGAGGGAGAAAGTGACACTGTCCCTGCAACTCTTTTTCCAGCGACTGCTATGCCTTAACCTCAGCAGAGTATTTTTTGAGTTGATACATATCACTTGTCATTTTTAGGTGGTAGATACAAAATCCCTAGAGACAGAGGTGATGCACTGCATATAAACAATGCAACAGAGCAGCGTGTTTACTGTATCAACATTGAAGTATCAGGGTTACTGCATATTCAGCTCCCTGCACAGACCCTCCACCACACAGTCGGCATCAGCAGTCTATATGTAAGCTGTGCTGCTTGTTAGACACACAACATTAACGATTCTACAAATACAGTACCTCTGTGAAATAACTAGTGTAGGGAAAACTAGACACCGCCTCACTGAAACAATGCTGCAAATTGATCATTAATTTGACTTGTATTCACTGTCATCTGCATCGCCACATGAAACAAATACGTGATCAACAGAGAAAAGCAAGTATTTTTGCCATTATAACGACAGAATGGGCCAACATCCTATTACCAGTTCGTTTCTTCTACCAGCTGCTTTACTGAGCAGCTTCTCATCAGCAAGGCTCAACTATTTGGCTTTATGTCCCTGGCTAGTATTCAAAGTACATGACATGTATGAATGTGTGGCAACAAGCATCTGATTTGAACTGTAAATGGCAGTTAGTGTAAAGTAAAGCATGTATTTTCTTGGGGCAGTTCATAATGCTCTTTTGCTGAAAAAATACTAATAGTAATGATTTTGTGAGCCGAAGCACTAACCACTGTTCTCTGGGCTTCTGCTGTCCTCTGTGTCCCTTTGTTCTGGATTTTGTGTCCCAAGGTTTGTTCCACAGAGCCATCATCCAAAGCGGTTCAGCACTATCCAGCTGGGCTGTTAACTACCAACCAGTCAAGTACACTCGCATGCTGGCTGAGAGGGTTGGCTGCAACGTGCTGGACACCGTGGACATGGTCTCCTGCCTGCAGAAAAAGAGCGCAAAGGAGCTGGTGGAGCAAGACATCCAGCCTGCTCGATATCGCGTGGCTTTCGGTCCTGTCATTGACGGAGACGTCATCCCAGACGACCCGGAGATCCTGATGGAGCAAGGCGAGTTCCTTAACTACGATATAATGCTGGGTGTCAATCAGGGTGAGGGACTGCGCTTCGTGGAGAACGTGATGGACCTGGAGGACGGCGTGTCTGGTAGTGACTTTGACTTTGCTGTGTCAGACTTTGTGGACAGTTTGTATGGCTACCCAGAAGGGAAGGACACTCTGAGGGAAACAATTAAATTCATGTACACAGATTGGGCTGACAAGGACAACCCGGAGACCAGGAGGAAGACCCTGGTGGCTCTCTTCACTGACCACCAATGGGTGGAACCCTCAGTGGTCACGGCTGACCTACACGCCCGCTACGGCTCGCCTACATACTTCTACGCCTTCTACCATCACTGCCAGAGCCTCATGAAGCCAGTGTGGTCAGATTCAGCGCACGGAGATGAGGTGCCTTACGTGTTTGGCATCCCCATGGTGGGCCCAACTGACCTGTTCCCCTGTAACTTCTCCAGGAACGACATCATGCTCAGCGCTGTGGTTATGACTTATTGGACCAACTTCGCCAAGAGTGGGTGAGTAAGAGCAAATCCAGGGACAAAGTACATGTTAACATCAGTGTGGCTTACTTACATGTACCTTCCATTAAAATCTCATCCAGTATCCCACCCCTTTCTTGGCCTGTGGTGTAACATAACATCACTTGTGCAGACCTTTACTTGTGTTGAGATGTTTAACCTCTAACTTCTGCTACATTTCCCCTTTTTTTATCACCCGGATTAAAGGAGTGTAGGATTCAGCCTTACATTACCTTATCTCCTTTGTTAGTGCACAAGAACTCGCACATGAAAAGTGGTGCTTCAGTTTTTATAAATTCATATTAATTCCTTAACAACAAAAGTCTCTAAATAAGCTTTATCATTAATGCAGACACTTCTTACTGTAAGTTTGCTCTGCTTCCCCTTTGCTCGAATTGATTTGACCTCACCATAACCTGTAAAGAGCAGTTTAATTTTACACTCACATAAAAAGTGGTGCTTGACTGTACGGTCACATTAAATGATGAAACTGAGGAATATATACAGCACACGCCATCTAATGAAAGCTGTGTCTTTTTAAATGCCATGTTGCTGCTTTTTTAAAGACCCAGTTTAGTCTTCTGTATAACCTCTCTTTACGCACATAACAAAGTTTCATCACTTTGGGCAGACTTCCTAAAGGTGATGGATCTAAAAATTTACAGCTTAATTCACATAAATGTTTAAAGCACTGTTTAACAAAAAGGTTGTGTTGAAAAGAAAATTTGAAGAGGCAGTTAAGACGTACTCCATAAACCTTCTGCCAACTCTGCTGTGAGGGGCTGCACAAATAATCGGTACAGAAATGTATGTACTGTATATCCAAGTACACAGCATTGATACACTGGTGCCAAAAAGACATTTGAACTGTGGAGCTGTCTTTTCTTCTGGTATTTCGGATTATCATTAGAAGCAGTGACATTTTAAAGTATTCTTAGGGTGACAGGAGACTTTTTCAGTTCAATAAAGTTTCCAGCAAAGGAGAGTTTATTATCTAAGACAAGCTATGGTCTGATGTTGACCTGATATTAATACTAACACTGAGTCAGCACTGGAAAAACATGCTGTTAAAAGTGCAACGGAGTGAAGCTTAGCAGCTCTCCCTCTGACAGCTCGTTTTTTACAGTTTGTCATACAAAGGCAAAGATTGGCTGTGTATTTTTGGAGATAAGAGACACGTAAGTGAGTTGCACTGTAGTGGAGGACTCCAATGCTGCCCTGCTGGAGTCTTCCTGCAATTTGAATGCATGCAGCTGCAATGAGTCTTTGTGGACGATGACCCTAGCAGTGGGAGGACACACAACTCAGGTCACTGTAGGCTGCCGTTTTAGTGTGTAGGAATGAGGGAATGCTGAGCCCTTGAGGAGAGATGGTGATATTGCATTGTGTTGACCTCCTTTTTGGCCCTTATGTTGATGAAGTTCTTCCTCTTTTTCTGTTTTATAATTTAACAAACAGGCCATCTGTTTCCATTTGCATTCGAAATGGCTTTTATACTGAGCAATGTGGTTAAAATAATCATCACAATATGAATGATGGTATTTTAAGCAAAATCACATAATCAACAATACAGTGCAACAACCAAACAAATGTTCAAAGCAAAGAATTGTGTTCTATTTTGTTTTAAACAAAAAAATGTAATAACTAGATTTGTTAGTTTTTATATACAGCTAATGCATGCATGACTCGTTTGTACACACAAATTTGCTCTTAAACATACTACAAGGAGTTTTTAACTGGTTATGAAACAGTCTCAATGTAATACTGATGTCTCTATATGACCTACATAAACAAGATGATCAGCGAGAAGATTGCCTATTTCTGTGTGGTTACTCTTAATGCCTGCCACCGTGTCGGATTCGGTCGGTTTCCCCTTGAAAGCAATGATGCAAGGCGGTGGAAACACTATAACCTTTGTCCACAGGGGGCGCTACAATTATTAAAAAATTGGAGTTCCTTGAAGGGGCTTTAAATCGTGAATGCAAACAATTTAATAACTTCTGTGGCATTCATTCAAATTGCCTTTGACCACACATTAGCCAATACACACAAAAGCCAATTAATAAAATAATGATTAAAAAAACAGTATTTTTAGTTATATTCATTTTAGTTCATAATTAAGTTATTTATTACTTTACTAATTAAAGATGATTAGGTTCAAAACTATTTCCCACCACCTCATCTGTAAGTATGCAGTATAGGTATAGCATATCCCAGTCCCCTGTTAGTCGTGTGCTCCCCAAAGTTCTCCAGTTAACTCCACAGTACATTCAGTTTCTATATACCACTGGTCAGCACATCAAGGCACCACCTCCAAATCTGTTCCATTTCCTCAATAAAAAACAAGTCCATTAATCAACGTTCAAATAATCATAAATGAATGCGGTGGCCATCTGGCCAGCGGGGAGCACACGACCTGGCTGCACCCCCGACAGAGCAACCTCTCCAATGATGGCTCCAGTGCGCTCATCCATGACTGTTGAAACTTTTTGCTGCCCTTAGGCGGCATTCCCTTTCCCTTTTTTATCTTGTCTTATTTTGTCTGAGCTTAACATTACCTGTCAAATGGCAGTGGCTTATAGGTTTGCGGTTTGCACACAGCACTCAGCTGCCCCTATATGTGGATTTATTGGGGCGATTCCATATGTTAATTGCAAATTTCCTGGCTCGTGCATCCAATTTAAGATCAAACACAATTCATCAACATACTGAGATGAGTAAGAACAGGCTTGGCTGTCAGTGCACGTTTATGAATCCCACGTATGGACTTTTGTATTTTCTTTTATTGCTTTGTGGAAGAACAAATATTAGAGAAAAATAAGAAAACATTCATGCGTTAGGCCCAATGTTTCTAGATCGATACCTTGATAAGATCATCACAAGAAGATAATAAGCTGGAAGTGGATCAACAATAATATTGAATTTGGCTTTCTTCCATCTCATTTATTTTCATGACTCAAGTTTTCTGTCTATGTTGTGTCCGTAGGGATCCTAACAAGCCAGTGCCACAAGACACCAAGTTCATCCACACTAAGGCCAACCGCTTTGAGGAGGTGGCCTGGTCCAAGTACGACCCCTACGACCAGCTGTACCTGCACATTGGCCTGAAGCCTCGTATCCGTGATCACTACCGCGCCACCAAGGTGGCCTTCTGGAAACACCTGGTGCCCCATCTCTACAACCTCCACGACATGTTCCATTACTCCTCCACCACCACCAAGGTCACCCCGCTGGATCCCACCCAGTCCAACGGTAAGAGGTCCGGCAGCACTGGCCGTCCTCCTGTATCCACTGCCCACAATGACGGCGAAGGGGGGAGGGAGATGGGTCCTCTGATCATGCCAAACCCGAGAGATTACTCGACTGAGCTCAGCGTCACCATTGCTGTAGGGGCGTCACTGCTCTTCCTCAACGTCCTGGCCTTTGCCGCTCTGTACTACCGCAAGGACAAGCGCAGTCGGCAGGACACGTCCCAGCAGCCCAGTCCCCAGTGTGACAGCAAGGGCAACAACATGAGCCACACTACCACCGTAGATGAGACCCTCTCGTCCCAGCAGAGAAACCAGTGTGAAGCCCTTCACAATCCTCTTCACGTCTCGCCCAGCATGGACTACTCACTCAGCCAGCGCCGCTCCCCTGACGACATCCCTCTGATGACGCCAAACAACATCACCATGATTCCCAACTCTCTGATGGGCCTCTCCAACATGAGTCCATACAGCACCTTCCCTGCTGGTTACAGCTCTGCAGGCCTGCCCAGCACCCACTCTACCACACGGGTATAGCCTGGCAGGAGGCGAGAGGAGCTGGAGAAGGGAACTGTGACGTACATAAAACATGGAAATGTAAAACTGTATTTAGGATGTGTAGGTAAACTAGGATTGAATATGTTTGTTCTGTCTTTTCCAAAAGGTGTACAACCGCCAACATCCTGCCTTTGCTCTCTCATAATAGGAAGTCTAACTGCAGAGTCATTTTATAATAATCATTTTCAAAGGCAAAAAGAAAAAAGTGCATTTCATTTTCCACTTTGGCTTTTTTGGAACCTTTACCTAGCAAGAACTTAGTATAATGTTTATACAGTTGGATTTGTATGGGAAGCTTTTTCTTACTCTGTGATATCCATTTTGATCTCGTGGAACAAAGTGACATTCAACTTGTGGTGGACGGAGATGAGATCTGGGAAAAGCTGAAAAGCAGTATTATTATTATTATTATTATTATCAAGCTATTTTATACATATTTCTCATGGTACATT